GGATTTGCGGTTACTCTTTTTTTTTTTTTAACCAAAAAGTTTCGGTTTTGTTTTTAAATTGGAGAAAACCAGGATCCCTGGGAATCAGTGCCAAGCTGTATGTTTACTAAAGCCTAGGGCAGTTGGCTGATGTTGTTTGCTCCTGTCTGACCCTGTCCTTTCAGCTCTCAAGAGTTTTAACTTGCTCAACAAATTCACACTGTAATGAGGTTTGCTATTACAGTGGTTCCTGGATTCCTTTTCAGAAGCAAAAGTAGAATTATGCATAGGAATGTTTTCACAGAAATGTTTTTCAAGCAAACTGGAACTAGCAGCGTGTACAAAGAAGGTACTTTGCAGAGGTCATCCATAAATGTAAAATGTGTTTTGGTACCCACAAACCCCTAAAATATTGTAGTGCACATGCTTCAAGTACTGGCCTTTGTTCTAATATGATCCAGTTTTGAAGTGTAATTAGTGCCCACTCCTTCCCTTTCTTTTGCACTTGTTTTCATTGGAGGTCTAAGAATAAACTTCTGGATCACTTTGGTATCTTTTGCATGACATACTGTGCAAAGGTAAATTATAAATTCGTCATAGATGGGATCAAGCAGCACTTTACAGTAGCCCTCAGCTTCTTTGCACCGTTGTGCACAAGGTTAAAGGAACCCCTCTTTTTTATGCTGTTGTATAAATTGTGTGTAAGTGAATAACAGTATGTAATAAGTAAAAAATCTTGCATTATATAACACTAGAACAGTTATTAAAACCAAAAACGGGTACTTTACTTGCTTGCTTTATGTGACTGAAAGTACTTGGTTCATCTTGTTCGCTCTGTTTTCCCTATGATACATGATTAACAAGGGGAGAGCTCTTCTCCCTCCTTAAATTTGTAAATCTCAAGTTGTCCAGAGGGAGTTGAGGCAGGTGTAGCTGTTTGAAATGCCTTTTAAGCTGACTAGATTTCAAGCTGATGTCTCCTGACTCACTTTACTCTTGTAAGCGAATTCCTTCAGGGGCCTTCAGCACAACTTCAAGATTATGCAAAATCTTCAAGTCACTTAATAGGCATTTTTAGGCTTACATGTCATAAAGCTGCTGCTTTTTTCCACAGGAAAAGTGTTGTGACCCTGATGTTCCAGAAAATGTACTAGAGGCAAAGATTATTTTTTTTTGGTCTTATTAGACCAGCTGTATAGTTGGGAGAGTTATTGGACAACCTGGGGAAGGACATTTACCCAAATACTTGTGTAGTAACTCGCCAAGTATACAGTTGTTCCAGTTAAAGACATCACAAAAAATCCTTGCCTTTTACAGGAAGAGGAGTGTGCACCAGTGTGGGACAGCTGGAACTTCTGTCTGTCAGTTGCAGTTTGTTCAGTTCTCTGTTCTGTCATTGTTTGAGTGTGTTTTATTGTTGGGTCGGTCTGTCTTCCAGGTCTTTTGGCTTCTCAGGTGCTGTGACTCAAGTTGAGTGCATATGTGCAGTACATTTCTAGTAAAATTTGCTTAAGCTTCCTCTAGGGAGCAGATGGCTAGTGCCTTTCATTACAGCCACGACATGTAAAATACAGAGTTCTTAAGTACATTGTCCAACACTTTTCTGTCATGGTTTCTTGCGCAGGGCATCAGGTACTTTAGATGTGTTACTTTTGATCTAGATGGTTTTTTTAGATTTCTAGATTATTTGCAGCATTTGTAAATGTACATACAATTGGGAAGTTAGCTTTGCAGGCCAGGGCTTGAATGAAGTCATCCCTAGCTAAGAGTCAGTGTCATAGTGCTCATGATGTTCCATTATAATGTGTCTTCCCAATCGTAGTTTGATCTTCTCAGAGGAGGAAGATGCAGCATAGATCAGTTTTGTAGGGTGCTGCCTTGATCTTATCCATAGGGATGAAACTCCTGTTAAATGGTTAGTATAGTCTGTCTACCCATAAATATTAGCTTTTTCCATGAAATCTTCCAGAGAGGAGTGATCTATTCAGAAGAGCAGACCAAGGCAGGAAGCTCTGCGTCTTGTATTGTGCTTGAAACTGCCAGTTTATGGTAAACTGTTCAACCACTAGCCCTTCTTCCTGACTTTACTGGTGGAGTGGTAGCACTGGGGTCAGGACCCATGGGAGACATTTATCTTTGTGCAGCTTGTGTGATAGTGTTTCTACCAAAGCTTAAGAGGCTGGTATTTTCACAGCTCTACTTTTTCTTCCCTGAAAATATCCTCTAATTTAGCTTAATTGTTCTTTATGTTCGCTAACTCCCTTTAGGAGGGGGGCCACAAAGTTAAGTTATTTTATGTTGCCTGTCCAGAACCATGTGTTTGGAGCTGTGGAGAGTCTGAAGCTTTGGCTTAATTGTGGGCTTGTCAGGATGATAAATACCTGTAACTGGGTGAGGTGTTCTTTGGATCACAGTTGCCAACATCAATCCTTGTTTGGAACAAGTGTAACAGTTGCCCTGGTGACCTGCACAATGTAGCTGAAATCAGTAGTTTAAATCCAGCATTTTCCTCCCAGGTTTTATACTTGAGCTCTTCTTGCATTGGACTAAACCTTTGGTAAACTGATAGTTGCATCTGAATCCTATACTTGCAGAAGGCTTATATTACATCAGGTGTCCTTTTTTGGTTTAGACTTAAATTGTTCTCATGCTAGTGTGTTTTAACAGACCAGCTAGTGTAGCCCTGATGTAGAAGTGTATTTGCCTACCATCTTTAGACAGAGAAGGTGCGAGCATAATTCAGTGTACGTAGGATTTGTTGGATTAACAGTACCATTCTGACTTGCAGGTGTGGAGGGTGAGCGTCCTGCTCGTCTTACTCGGGGAGAAGCTGACAGAGATACCTACAGACGCAGTGCTGCTCCACGTAAGTATTCATTGTGTTGGGGTCTGAGTGAGTTAGGCTGAGCTTGTCATGAGTACAGATGCTTTCTGTTCAGTTTTAGTTTCTTTTATGAGGGAGGGGAACGGGGCTTGAATAATTTGACACAAAACACCCTATTCTTGGTGGTGATGGAGCTTTGAAAGCTCAGCTTGCCTGGTGGAGTTGGGTTGCCTAGTTAGCAGATTGCCTACTGCTGTAATTGATGTAATGCTTCCTATAACTGTAAGTTACAGACAGATACCTGATGCTGTAAAGGGTACCAGCATGGGGTTGGGACATTTGATACTACTAAAGAGAGAACTTCCCAATGACTTTGGCATCATAGTTCAGGGAGTGGATCCTCTGCTTTTGTAGTGGGATTGGACGCTCTCCTTTTTTCTTCTCTTCAGTTGGTTCTGACAAAAAGGCTGAGGCTGGTGCTGGAGCAGCGACCGAATTTCAGTTTGTAAGTATTGACATCTTGAAATGTTTCCTAAGCTAGGGCTTGAGGGAAAGCTTACAGCAGGGCTCCATCTGGAGGAGATGGCATCCTGAGGGCTACTGCCTGATGTCTGTCACACCACTTATTAAACTGCTGGTATATTTTCTGCTGCAATAATACAGGATGCTTCCTGTGTCTGCTGCTAGTTGATCCCCTGTTAGGCCAGCCAGTAGTACTGTTGTCAGATTTCTGTATGCTGCCTTTGTCCAGGCTACTGCCTGGATAGGAGACCTTCAGGGAACATCCGGGTCCTGTACAGAATGATGCTGATTGGTCAGTCAGTACAAAGTATGGAGCCCCAGCATAATTCTTTTAGAGAAGAGTTAAAAATGAAGCCACGATTCCATGGGATTTAATCTTCCCGTTGCATCCTTAGAAAATCAGGAGTGTCAACCTCAGTGCCCTGACTGCATTACACAGGCTTAAAGCTTGATGCTTGTGAAGCACTTGGATCTCCTGGTGAAAATTGCTGTTTTGCACTTGTTTGTGGCAGTCTTGCATATGACTTCCAAGCTAACTCTAGAAAGAGTTGGGTTTAAGATTGAGTCTGTCATTCTCTGCGTTAGCAGGCCTTGGACACAACAGGAGTTGTACTTTGACAAATGGTAGTTAGCTTCATAAAGGGGTTACTGGCTAATTTAATCTCCTGAAGGCAGACAAGACTAATGTTGTTCCCTTATGACTTACATAGCCCAAAGATGGGGGAAGTGTGGTGGGGAAAAGCAATGCATTTGCAGTGTGCTCTGCATCTGGGTTGCCATCACACTTGCTATTTGGGTTTCTGATGACTAGACTTCTAATACTGTCTCTTTCTTTTGCAGAGAGGTGGATTTGGTCGTGGACGTGGTCAGCCTCCTCAGTAGAACTCTTTGGCCGTGTTTTTTTGTGTATAATAAAATAGCTGAAAAAAATCTCACCCTCCTTGCATCCTTGTATCATTTAAAAATATGGAAATTAATGTCCTAGTAACAGCAGTAACTTGGACCACTAAAGCTGAGGTTGCAGATTTAACTGATTTTAAAAAACAGATAATGGAGGGTAGACTTGGTCACAGGAAATATGTATTTAGCTTCCCAGCATTGCTGGGATAGATTATGATGGCTGCTGTGGGTTTTGGCTGGGGTGATTGAGAAGATTCTTCTTGGAGAACAGTAGGAGGTGTTTGGTTTCATGGAAGTTTGGAACTGCCTCCTGTCTCCTAGGTTTCCACTAAGAGGATGCCTTTTGAGTACCTGCTCAAAGGGGGATCCCTTTCGAATGTGAAGTGGAGGTCTGGCTGTATCTCCAGAATTTTGGCTTGCATTGTGCAATATTGTGATTTGTGAAGCAGCTGGAATACACAGAGCATGTCTTGTGAAACCACTGTAACTTCATCTAAAAGGTTAGAGGACCCAACTGTTACTGTCTGTTGATAGGGTGTGCTTGTTTGGCTTGGCTTGCCATACTTCCAAAAGAATCTCTCAGTGCAATAAAACGTGAAATACTGCATTTTTGGATTTGCTCCTTCAAATAGAAATTGTACAGTTGACACATTCTTCACTAGTTCAGTTCCTAATGTGAGTCCCCACTTGCAGTAGAGCAGGGGGTCACTACCTTGGATTTCTTGATGCTGCTTAGAAAAAACAGGAGAGATCAAGTTCTCCTAGGTTTTTGTGCCAGATGCAAATAGGCAGGCAGGCACCCATTTCATCAAGGTCATTTGACATGGGCATACAGGATGTTCTCTTAATGATGTAAGGTCAACTTCTAGTTGTTATCTAGAAATTGCTGCTCAGCCTCCTGGCTATGTCTATATTTACCCAGCTTCTGTTAAACTCTGACTTGTGAGTTCTGGATTATGTCAGTTCAGTACTGCAAACAGCAGCAAATTCTTTGGCAGAGGAAAACTTGCTTGTTTTTATCGAATCAAATACAAATAATGCAATCAATACCGTGTTGTGTGTGTTATACTTCCCTGAGAGAGTTCCTCTGAAGTGTGCTTCAAAATGTGTTTCTACACATTCAACAATGGTAAGCTTCTAAAGTGCAAAGCCAAGCAAAAGGCAACAGCCTCATTTCATAAGGTCAGAGCCATCATGATTGTGATTTTGCAGATAAAGCAAATAATTGTAAGTGTTTCTGTTAAACCAGTTTTGAGTTGAACAGTGAGGGTATGGAGGGAACCAAAATTCCTGTGTTATGCTATGGTTGCTATTTGAGCTCAAGCACCTTTCAAGAGTTTGCAATAGGCAACGTTGTTTAAGGATGTGCTACTGCCTAGATTTAATCTAACAGTTCGGACAACCTGACTATTGAAGTGAAGCCTGTGCAATATACAGTCACACCGCTAGATGTCATCCTAATGCAGGATTTAGGATAAAATGCTAACCTGGAATGGCTTTATGATAGCATGGATGCTCTAGGGTGGGGCAAGCATTCCAAAAGTGTTAAATGTTAACATGAATTTGCACAATAACCCTAATGAAGTGGCATACAACGGATCTAGGTTCACTAGTTAATCTGAATTGCTATGCCTATCATGCTGCTGCATGTGTTAACCAGATTGGGTATATACCCATATTTTACTTGAATTTAAGTAGGTAGATTTGTATTTTGATTTTTTTTTTTTGCCTGTTCATGTGTGGTCTGGTTCATTTAATAAATGTGTGTGTGGTCTGTGTCTCCTT